TTTTTCCCTGATGAACATGAAAAGCGTTTATCTAATGATCAGCTGGAAGCTTGTGAGGACCTAATTACTGAAGAAGAATTACTCATTGCTATAAATTCCTTTTCAAATGGCAAAACACCTGGAATTGATGGAATTCCGGTGGAAGTCTATAAACATTTCTTTTCTGTTTTTAAAACCCCAATGCTAGATTGTTTTAATTACTCCTTGTCACAAGGCTACTTATCAGATACACAAAGACAAGGAATAATTTCTTTATTACTAAAACAAGGGAGCAACGGGGAATACAAAGATCCTACACTTTTGAATAATTGGAGGCCCCTCACATTATTATGTTGCGATACAAGAATTATTTCTAAATGTTTGGCTTTGCGTGTAAAATCTGTTATCTCTGACATTATTCATAATGATCAAACAGGATTTATTAAAGGAAGATTTATTGGAGATAATATTAGACGTATATTAGATTTAATTGATCATTATGAAAATGAAGATAAACCAGGTCTAGTTTTTATTGCTGACTATCAGAAAGCATTTGATTCAGTGAGGTGGGATTTCATGGTTAAAGCATTAGAATTTTTCAACTTTGGCCCCAAGTTTATAGCTTGGGTTAAAACTTTGTACTCTAATATTACGAGCGTTGTGTCAAACAATGGCTATTTATCAAATTCTTTCACTTTATATCGTGGTGTTAGACAAGGTTGTCCTCTAAGCCCCTATTTATTTATTATTGTTGTAGAACTGTTGGCCATTAAGATACGCAGCAATCAAAAGTTGACTGGTTTATCTGTTCATGGAAGGCACTGTAAAATTTCTCAATATGCTGATGATAGTAATTTCCCCTTTGCTCCCAAATTAGCATGCTTTAATGCCCTTAGGCCACACCAATTTATTTCCTTGGTTAACGGATTCGCCGCTTGCTTTTTTTGCCGAATGAAAATAAAAATAAAAAACGTCATAGTTTAGACCCCACAGGCCGGCAATACCCTGAACAGGGAGACCCCAATGAAATTGCTGCAGTTGATACCAATGTCGCTAGAGGCGCTCCTGCACACATAGTCACACGACGTAAAGTAGCCAATCGTGGATTGTTTTACTTTCTGACCAATCAGATGCGATGTTCTGGAACCATGTTGGCTCAGTCATTTGTTTTGTTCTGCATGGTGGACAAAATTTGCGGCGGAAGCTTAAATTGTTTGAGAAAGCTGGAACTTTGGATCAAGGCAGAATCTAGGTACAGTACATGTAAAATTGAATAAATTTTGTCCCCTTTAAAGTTGTTGTGACTATGAAATTGCTTGTGAGAGTTAACATTCGTGTCCTGTTTTAGAGTACATATGATGATGGTGGAACTTGGAAGTAACATGCTAAAACTTGTTTTCTGCTCGTGTACGAAAAAGATTATCAACCCAATGGTGTGGATAGCAAATAAAACACAATACAGTACATCCTCTCTTGTCTTTTGTTTCTTTCCCAGTATTTTCGTAACTTAATAAGCAGTCTGGATTTCACAGTACATGGCTGTATGGCAGGTAGTATCAAATTTTTATTTTTATTTTTTTTTCGCCCGCCCGCTCCATTTTTTTGTACAAAAATCCGTTAACCAAGAAAATAAATAGGTGTGGCCTTATTGATGATTTACAAAGTTTTTCCCATCTTTCGGGTTTATCTTTAAATTTTGACAAGTGTAAGATACTTAAAATTGGTTCTTTAAAAAACACGAATTTTAAACTACCTTCCCAGCTACCTATTCAATGGGTAGATGGGGAGGTAGACCTTTTAGGCATACATATACCTAGGGATTTGGGGTCCATTATTAACTGCAACTTTCAACCCCGTTTAGCAAAATTAGATAGATTATTATTCCCCTGGAAAAGCAAAAGTTTATCTTTGTTTGGAAAAATTACTGTCATAAATTGTTTGATTGTTTCCCAGTTTACTAATCTTTTCCAGGTGCTCCCCTCCCCAAGTAAATCCTTTTTTAAAATATATGAGAGAAAAATATTTTCCTTTATTTGGAATGGGGGTCCAGAAAGGGTCAGTAGGAAAACAATTTACAACTCAATTGAAAATGGTGGTTTGAATTTAATTAACTTATATGCCTTCTCCCTCTCCATCAAAGCTTCGTGGATGCCAAAATTATATTTTAATCCTGATTGGTTTACCTCCTGGTCTTTAAGTACATATCTTTCTGTTGGATATACATTATTTCCTTTTCTCCAGTTGGATAGCTTACAGTACCTGAAACTAAATTCTTTCTTATATGATATTGTATATGCTTGGTATAAATATCAACATAAGGCCCCCACAACTCCAGCTGAGATTAGACAACAGCTTTTATGTATGAATTCTTATATCCTTATTGGTGGAAAACCTTTCTTTTCAAATGCTTTTCTAAATAGAAGAATTCTGTTTGTAAATGATGTTTTAAATTTAGATGGTTCCCTCATGTCATATGATGAATTTTGTATTAAATATGATAATGTTTGTAGCCACATGCAGTATTTGCAGCTATATACTGCAATCCCCCCAAAATGGAAATCTACTTTGCTTGGTTCTTCATCCCTTTTAGTTTGTATACCTACCCAATGTGATAATACCTGGCTTAGAAAAATTAAGATAAATAAAAGCATGTATAAATTCTTTTAAGTTCCTATAATTTGATAGATTGTTCGCATAATGTTCAGATGTCATGGCTGTACCTCTTTGATATCCCAATCCCCTGGAGACTAGTCTACACTTCTATTATATATTGTACCATTGATCCGACAACAAGATTTTTTCAATATAAAATTGTCCATAAATTTTTACCAACAAATAGGTTATTGTACATCTGGAAATGTATAGACAGTCCATTATGTTCATTTTGCCATGAGGAAGAAGAAACCTACCTGCATGTCTTTTGGGAGTGTCCACATTTAGTTTCTTTTTGGGATAAAATTCAAATATGGTTTCATCAACAGACTGGACAAAGACTACAGCTTAATTCTTTTAATGTCATTTTTGGTAACTTAAATTTAGAAGCCCCTGTTATAGGTAACCTTGTAATTTTATTAGCTAAAAGATGCATTTATAGAAGCAGAAAGGCCAACCATGTTACTTTTCAATCTTTTCTTAATTATGTAAATTTCTTTCATACAGTAGAATATTCTATTGCCGCAAGAAGGGGAAATCTGCAGAAGCATCGTGGCAAATGGGGTACCTTATGTTCTTGAGTGTTTTCATTATCAATATTATCATTTGAATTATGATATGAAATATATGATCATTGATTATTATGATTATCGTTATTATTATGATCAGTTATGATCATTTCCATTATTATTGTCATTACTATGATTATTATTGTTATTCTGATCAGTTATTTTTTGATTAGTTATCATGATCAGTTATGAGTCAAGTTATTATGATCATTATTATTTTGATCTGTTATTATTTCATCATTATTATTATTATTAAGTAATGGGATGGTTCACTTAATTGTATGTTGTATGTTTATTGATGAAAAAATAAAAAAAAAAAAAAAAAAAAAATTTTAAATAGAATGTTGACTGTCTATCATCATAATATATAAAATTTCTCTTTTATCATTTATTATTTTATTCTTCTTCATCACCTAGTACTTGAAGGTCTGCGATAATGCAACTAATGCATGGGCATTTTGTGGAATAAACGATAAATGGGGTATTTCTATTCTGGTTGGCTGTTAGAAATAAATGGGGTCACACCCCAGAAAGTATGGAACATTCTCCCATAACCACTACAGGTGCGTGAGTGTGCATGGGGGTAATGAGAAACATGCTTGGGTAACCAAGGGGTTTATCAAGTTCACTGTAAAACTGTTTGCTACGTGATGTTCCTTCACTGATGGCAAATGTGTGAATGGTGGCCAGACATATCATGTCTTGTGCATAATTATGTTGTGATTAAATCTATATTAAGACATGGAAACGGCTAGAAATGTGTGGTATTATGACTGTTGTTGCCCAAAGCATGAAAGGCCCATGTGATATTATGTTAACAGTAAAAGAAAACCACTTTAGAAACTTAAGCATTAAAAGTATTTTAAAGCTGAATACATAACAAAATTTCTTGGGATTTTAAACTCAGTCAATGTAAAACCCAAAACTTGTATTCAGCCCAAAACTTCTTTCTTGATGTGGCTATGTAGTACTACACATTTTGTAGTACTGTTATACAAATGTAGTAACCATAATTCAGTTGAATGGATTTGTAAAATTAATTATTTATTTGTAAAATGTTGTTATCATGAATCAGCTTTATTGCATATGTTAGCATGTCCAGATCAGGAAGTACCAATGAACAGAAATTCTGCTGCAGTACCATAGAAAGATGCTAGAGGAAACTTTCTGATACATGAACATTCATGTACTAACATACTAAATATAGTACTGTAACAGTAATCATGATCCATCCCCAATTTAGTTATGCTGTCAACAAATATTCATGGTGAATGTACATGTCAATATTCTTTATGCAAAAAAAAAAGCAGTCACTCAACAACTGGATATGATTTTGGAAAATCATATCTAGTTGCTTAAGTAACTGCTTTTTGGCTTTGGCGTATCTTATTACCTGGATGTCAAACCTTCATCGACGTATCATTCTCAGGGCTCGAAATTCATTTTCGGGAATAGGTGCACTGGTGCACCCAACCTAAAAAATTAGGTGCATAAAATTTTTTTGGGGTGCACCTTATAAAACAATTACCTAATTACAGATCTTACTGCTCCTCTTTTGAGCTTGAATCTAAAATGGGAGCAAACTTCAAAAGTACTACAATGAAGATTTTATTATTTTCTGACACTTAGATGCCAAGAATATCCTGCATACCATTATACATTTGATATGTTCAAAAATATGTACAAAAAAATTTGGGTTCACTGAAAAAAAATGGGTGCACAGCTCCAATATTGGACCTTAGTTTGCACCCAGTATTTCGAGCCCTGAATTCTTGTTTTTTTTTTTCTACGACTCCTCACCTGTAAGTGTTCGGCATACAGTAGACTCTTCAGCACCTGCATGTTTCTCTTCTGCATGGCCTTCTCCTCAAGAACGTTCTCCAGAAAACTGCAGATGTCTTTAATCTGAGTACCCGAGGGCAGCATGGCCAACGCCTGGAGAGGGGGACACCAAGATGTTCTGTTTGTTTGTTTGTTGTTTTGCTGTTTGTTTGTATCAAGTGTATAACCTGTAAACTGCCTTAAGGCCACATGGACATGACCCAAAATTGATGATGATGTATGTGGGCATAAAAAAGATAAAAGGTTAGCCCTTATAAAATTATAGAAATTTCTTATCAATTAGGTAAATTAGATCCCGATTTGCATAATTTATATCTATGAATATTCCTCTCTATCTCGGTTACATACATGTACACTGTCATGTGTTTCATAGTCCTATCATGACAACTGACCACAATACTTCATCAGATGTCACTGACCTTAACAGAGTAACAATTGTCAATAGTGAGACTTCTAACCCTAACCATAACCCTAAGAATTGTCATTGGTGTTGGCCTTATCCCTAACCCTAACCCTATAACCGCTGTTAATGGCGTTGGTCTGAGCTGACTGGTCTGAGTTGACAACAGTCTGAATCGGCCTGATCCCAAATAAAAAAACAAACAAACAAACACAAACATTTCAAGATTTACAGTATAATACAAGGGTGTACATTTTGTACATTTGTAACTGTTACATAATAATCTCTTGTATAATCTCTGTTAGATGCAAAATGTTACATAAACCAAACTGTATGAGATGTTTTTATGATACATTACCCCTTGACATTTACTCTCTACTTCCTTAATATGACATTTTCCCATTTGATCTTTTCCCATAGCATTTGTCTGATGGGATTTTCTGAGGTGTTATGTTGTGGGACCACCTGTGTGCAGGTTTCATTTTTCATGTGCATGTACGTATATTGTACATGTAATAGCTTTGCAAATTGTACAAATATGATGCGGGGTACAGATATGGGGTTTTCCAAGATCCAGCATTCACAAGAAAATACTGTACAAACAACATTTAAACTGTACCTACAAACTAGAGTCCCACGATCTCATACCTTCGCCAAATGATGTTAATTTTTATGACTGACAAAGTAAAGATTATTCCTCCTGATTATGCAAATAGGATCCTTATTTGCATGAATTATGTCAGTTGATCATATTCACCATCAAAATACAGCTTTATCTTTAACAAAGAAAGCCATTCTATCATTTCCTCATAAATTATGCAAATGAGGTCCTTATTTGAATAAGTTATGTTTAATGATGTTCTCCTTCACTTAACTTTCAAATACCCCAAGTGTGAAATTCCAGGCAATTACCATTATGGAAGTATAACATTTTCTCATTAATTATGCAAATTAAGTGTTAATTTACATAATCAATATCTGCCTGTGTTTCTCTCGCTCTCAATTGCATATGTCACAAGCTTAAATAGTCCTATAATGTAATGCAGCTGATTTATAGAATTTCCTCATTAATTATGCAAATTACATCCAGATTTGCATAATTGTCGCATAATTATGTCAAGCGTCACGTAAGCTACCTACATACCAAAAATCACGACGATCCGTCCACCGGTTCTTGAGTTATCCTCTTATGAATATTTTCAAAGAAATGCCCCTGCAGTACCCGAGCAAGGCGCTAGGGGGGCCCAAACCTATGTCACTTCTTCCCCAGCACAAGACCTACCTACCATCCAAATTTCGTGACCCTAGCACATCTAGATCACGAGATATCAAAACCGGAAGTTCAGCTGCAGTACCACAAGAAGCCGCTAGGGGGCCCAAAATCTAATCATTTTGAGGTCTCATCAAGACCTACCCACCTACCAAATATGAAGTCAATCCATTTAAGCCTTCTCAAGTTATCGTGTTTACAGACAGACAGACAGACACACACACACGAACGCCTACGAAAACATAACCTTCTTGGCGAAGGTAAAAATCATGCAAATCTGGGTCTTACTTGCATAATATATGAGAAAGAGCTAGAATTGCTGTCTGAAAATCATTTTTGGAAGGTACAAAATCATGGAACTCTTGGTACAAAAGTGTCGGGGTTCGGAAGAACCCCCACACAAGGCTCAAAGGTCCACGTTTAGGTCCACTTTTTATGTAAAGGTCCACTTTTTGGTCCACTTTTTATTAAAGGTCCAAGATTTTTCTTGAAAAGATGGACTGGAATCGTAGATTCATTGAATAAAATTTATCTCTGATTTTTTCTTGGAAATCCTCTCAAAAATGCACGAAATGCCATTTTTAGAAGGTTCATTTTTCGAAATTTTCCGGGGGAGCATGCCCCTGGACCCCCCTAGGAACCTCGCGCCTTCGGCGCTCGAGGTCTCCTCAAGCAGTAGGAAGAACCCCCACATTCAAAATCCTGCGATGATAATTGTGTTTGGTGGTATTAAAAAATCATACCGTTCAAGACAATGACAAGGTAGCTTATAGGTATTCTTAGTGTAAATCATAACATATTAAGGACAATACAAGGACTGAAAGATGACCGACACTACATGTAGGACTGTATGATGTACAAACATGCAGTAACAAAGCCGGGACTCTTAATCATTCATAACTTCCTGTGCAGATTACATTGTCTTTGTCAATGGCAAGACAGATTGTTTCTGGTCATCAAAGGAAGGGGGCTACATGTCTCCTCTGTGAAATATCAGATGTCAACAGCTATTATGATGTGATCAGAGTATATCTTGGCCACAAATACTGTTAAACTCCTAATTCTTCACAAAAATATGCTTTGATTCTTATATTATTCTATATTCTTATTGGTTCTATATGGTTGCTGGTTGTTTCAGATCTGTATATTCTTTCTTTTTAAAGCACTGAAAAATAAAGTTTCATTTCAGTCCTTTGGCCACACCAATTTAATTTCTTGGTTCACGGATTCGCTCGCTTCATTTCTTTCTGATTTGCAAAAAAAAAATTCAGAATCAACTGCAAAATGCTCATATTTTGCCCTGAACAGTTGAAAACAGTCCCTTTCTTCCTAGTTGTTACAGTTATTCCATCTTTCAATGCAGTGGCGTATTAAAAGTTCAAAATTTATTGTTTGAATTTTGAACCAGCCTGGTGTGTTGATTTCATGGCTCCTATCGTACCATTTTGGGCCATAATAGAATGCCTAGGTCTATTTTTATTTATTTATTTTTTTACATTGTTTCTTTACAAAAATCCGTTAACCAAGAAATAAAATTGGTGTGGCCTTTTCTTAAGAAAAAAAGCTGTGTCCCTTGAGGTTCAAGGAAATTTACCACCTCTATCCAAGAGCCAAGAAAAAGATGTATCATAGTAAGCTAATACTCCCTAGTCTATTACACTGGGTGGTGAACAATGAAGACCAGGCCTGGTGAAGTCATCCCTAATGTAACCACTTTATCAGGGGCACCAGTGGGGGGTTGAGAGGATTGACTCAGGGTACCACAGAGGCAGGGCTGGAAATACTGGGTGCATGTGCACCTTAGTACGCCCAAATTTGGAGCTGTGCACCCAATATTTTTCTGTTGATGCACCAGTGCACCCAAATAATTCCGTAGGTTTATGTATGTAAAGATGTTAAATGTATAGTATTATACAGCATATTCTTAATATCTATATATAAGGGTCAATAAAATAACTATATCATTATTATACTACATTTATTCAGAAATGAAACATAACTAGTTTTTGCTGGCATTCTACTTATATGGTGCATCCCAAATTTTTTTTGTGCACCCAATTTTTTAGGTTGGGTGCACCAGTGCACCTACATTTGTACAGTGTGTATTCCCAAAAATGAACTTCGAGCCCTATCAGAGGCCTAAAGATTACGGTCAACATAGCAGCAGGTGGAAGACATCAGGGGTGAATCTTTTTCTGTCACTTCAGTTAAGTTTGCATTGGAACAAAGCGATGAGTGCTAATAAATAATATATAAATAAATAAATAACATTTAGTCAATGGAACACAAAATATGAATGAAGGAGATCTTTTATTTTCATTTATTGATGAGAATAATTTCATTATTATCATTTTTTTAATTAGTAAAAAATACGCGGTTGGCTTATCTTCCTAAAATGTTGCCTAGTACAATATAATTTGTTACATGTCCCTCCCTCATACAGTAAAAATATGAACATTGTAAATTCCTATTCAGGATTTAATACTGTAAATCTTGACATGTTCACAGTAACCTTTCCACTGAGGAATCATTTTTCCATGGTGTACTACAGAATTGGTCCAAACACAAACTTCAAACACCACAAAACCTGACTTTCCCCTTTGACACAAAGTAAAACGTAATTCTGTTAATTTCATACCACATTTGGTGTGCCCTGATCACCCCCACTGTACCATCCATGTCTCCCAGCAAAACAAGCTCTAGAACATGGACGATCAATCTTAGTCAAACTGTAATTCCTGTACACACACAGAGCCTCTTTAGGGAAGGGGCAAAATGTTTTCATGTTCTGGAGTGGTCCAGACAAAAGAATAACATTGGAATGAACACCATTTGTTGATGGGTTTCAGACAATCAATGAATACTTTAAATTCTTTTCTTTTTGTATATTGGAAATCATATTTTGTGGTGGTGTTAAAGTTTGATAAAAGCAAAAACACCACAAACATTTCAAAAGTTGTGGGGTCGTGTGGCGCAACTGGCAGAGTGCTAAACTCGGAACCAAGAGGTCCCGAGTTCGAGTCCTTAGATACAACCATTCTTGTGACCTTGATAAAGGCGTTCCCCACTTAACTTGAGTGAAAATGAGTATTGTCTGTCCTGTATTTGATTCTATGTGTGGGACACAACACCAGCAACAGCTGCCTGTGTCCCACGTTTATTGCACTGTTGCAATTTCAATAAATCAAATCAAATCAAATCAAGAATTACAGTACGTGTGTATGTACATTGTACGAAGTGCACAGCGACCAGTGTTAAATTTTGCTTTGTTGCTTTGTTGAGAAAAATGTAAAAAAGAAATAAATATACACAAAAGAATTAGTACAACAACAAGAGCAAATTGATGATCGTGGGCATTAAAAAAGGAAAAGAAATTCAAAATTTGAACAAAATGCATCAAATTCATCACATCCTACCCCCCCCCCCATTCTTCTTGGTTCCTCCCCCCATCATCCCTCTAGATCTCCAACAGAGTAAATAGAATGGCTTCTTAACAAGATTTTCCTGTCAGGACCTCCAATATTGATGCCACTGTTTTTGATTCGGTACTTTCTTCCAGACGCTTCAATCAATAGAAACAAGTTCAGCTGCTGTTCCGCTGGGGGAATTGGACACCACTTGAGTTGCAAGTTCACTGCCAATATCGCTGTCTCAGGGCTAACGTTACTAAAGCAATTAGTAACGATTCGGCAAAGCAAATAACAATTGTATGTGAGAAAAGAAAGCTACATACACATATGTATGTCAACTTTCAAACTAGATACAAACATATCCATGTGGACAGAAAAGGCACGCAGGTTTTTAATTTCCAGTCGTAATTTGCAATAAAAAGAATCTCGGCTTGCATGATTTTTTGTACCTGTAACATGTAACGTTACATGTACAGATGGATTCTGACAAATTTTATGTGAAAATCTGTTTTATTGGCTAAGTCACTTTTATCCTCTCCTGCAAAAAACAGAGAGCCTCTGCAGCTAAAATACATGTAGATTTGATAACCACGCCGCATGTATCTGTGGACTAGGCTGAACTTTATATAATACCACGATTATGCTGTAAAAGATTCTATGGGGCCAAGAAAAAGACTGCGTGACTGTATGGAATCAAAAGTGCCTCTTGCAGTTTCTGTATGAACTTCAAACTCATATCAACTGTGCCACTTTGATGTACTTATAGAATCTGTGGTGTAATGGTGGATGGAGGCAACAGATTAGTTAAGAGCGCCATCTGGCAACATAGTAATGAAGTACAAATTGTAACATTGTAATAAAAGATTGAGCACATCTGTGGATAAAATGCTATCTCCTGTCCTATATAAAGCTAAAGCAAGTAACTACCTCCATGAAAAATGGAGGTATTGTTTTTGGCGCGTCTGTCTGTATGTCTGTGTGTGTGTCTGTCTGTCTGTCTGTGTGTGTTTCCGCAACTTTGTAGTCAGCATAACTTCAGAACGCCTTTATGGATTGTGATGATATTTGGTATGATGGTAAGTCTTGGAAAGACAAAGGTCAAGGTCAAGTATGGGCCTCCTGGCGGATGACCTTGGTACTGTAGCAGAACTTCCGGTTTTTGTATCTTTTGTCCTGAACAAGCTATGGTCTTGACTTTTTGGTGACAGATAGCTTTTTCTGTCAGGAATAAGTGGTGTAAGTTTGGTCCCCCTAGCAGCTTGTTTTGGAACTGCAGGTTAGTTTCTGGTAAAAACTTTCAAAGCCAATAAGTCCAGATTGGAATAACGTATTTTCATCATTTTTGGTGTGTAGGTACCTGAGAGACAGTTGTACATGATTAAATGCAAATTATGCAAATGAGGATTTAATTTGCATAATTAATGAGGAAATTCTATAATTACAGTGTTTCATATAATGGTACTGCTATACATGTAATCTATTTAATCTGTGGTAGGCGGAACATCAACAGATACCAATTATGCAAATGATGACCTAATTTTGTGAATTCTGTGAATCCTTATTGGTGAATGATGGGGATTTTATACCTCGTAACATGTGTAAGTTACTTAATGGTTTGCATTCGTATGCATATATTATGTTAATGTAGAGGTTATTTGCATAATTAATGAGGACAAAGCAAGCCCATATTTCACGGAGGTATGAGATCTAGGAACTCTTGTTATACAGTGGAACTCGATGGGATCAAGTACAGTAGGGGCATCACCACTAAATAGCTTTAACCAATCTTTGTTGGACGTGCAAAGGCTACATGTAAGTGTAACAAGTCGTTCAGTGTAATATAGCCAGCTGCCACTGCGCTGCATGCCTGCAAAGCTGGTGTTATCATGCCAGGGGTGGTTATACCGGCTATACTGATACACTACATGTATGTCACTTCCGATTTCAATACGTTAGATTCTATAGAAAAATTCCATTACATTCTCAGGAGAGATGACCAATACTCAGTATTCAAATAGGAAAATACATTATTCAAATAGGTATTCAGTATTCAAATAGGAAAATACATTAAAGAATGTTTCAATCTTAGAGACTACATGTTAGAGAATAGTTAAACCTTTATTGTTATCACTGATATTTATTCTGTACATAATTTGCCACATACATATTCTGTACTTAGGATGAAGTCATCCATACATGTATTTAGCTTTGTTAGATCTTTAGTTGTAGAAGACCATACAAAAGTCCCTGTATTTCTTGTTGTCAATAAAGCTACGGTCACAACCCACCGTACGTGCTTCTGCGTGCTGTTTACGTGCAAAAACGTTGGCAAACGCAGGGCATCCGTGCGTGGTGAGTACTGCTTCTGTGCGGAATCCTAAGGATTTGGGAGCACGCAGACACGCCGTAGAACTTTAAGTGAATGTAAAACTTTTTCTATGTGCGTTCTGCGGATTCACCACCCGTGTGTGCGAGTACGAGCGATGCGCGTGCCCGTACGTGCCGTGCAGAAGAAGCATGTGTGAGTACGGCCTCCTTACGGTAAAGTTGCAATTGCACAGAGATCGTACGTTGTAAGCACGTACAACTCACTTACCACTTGTGCAACCGTTTTCAGAGAAAACGTAGCAGACATAGCCTCCCAAAAAACGTACGGACAAAAAGCACATACGGCGGGTTGTGACCGAGGCTTAAAGAATCTGTCATCTATGTTGGAGAACCCACCTTTGCAGTGTCGATCTTGCTGGAATGCTCCATCAGGATGTCCAGTGCAGCCTGGACATTGGGCTGGGGGTTGACCGCTCCAGACATGACCCCCAGGTTGTGTGGGTCGGGTGGACTCAGGTACATCCTCAGTAAATACACATAAACCTTCAGAACATACGGGAGAGATGTATAATTATATAGTACACAACACAGTGTATATTGTATCATCCGAGGTACCAGCCCGACCGCGGGTTGGATCTCTCTTTGGCTGTCGTGTGATCCAACCCGCGGTCGGGCTGGTACCTTGGATGTCATTCCCACATCATGAGAAAACACGCCTTTCAAAGCAAAATGTGAGGAGGGCTTTGACCGCGGAATACATTTCTACATGCAAATTTTGAAAATTATTGTGTGATGATATAGTCTGGCATTTTCTTAGAGGCAAATTTTTGGGGAAGGGTGGTCGCCTCTCAAAATGTGGGAAAATGCATTATTGAAAGTTTGAAAATCAGAATTTCCCTGAGAATGCAAGCACCTGTGTTGCTCATCATCCCCCATCCAAAATTTTGGGACACATTCATTAGTTTGGTTCTCTGACTTTTTCATTGTTTTTTTCCAGTTAAAGATTTTTTTTTTAAATCGGAGATGCAACAAATTCAATTGGTGTTGCCATAGAATGATAATATACTAGTAATAGACAATTTGTATTACAGCTGGTTTGTGATAGGTTTGCCTATCTGACAAAACAGAAACTTTTTCTTTACATTATTTTGAAACAATAATAATAAGAAAAAGTAATTTTACTCACATCCTTATTGCCCTCTTTGTGTCTGTCATAATTCCTTGCACAGTACCTGAGGAAAAAGGAAAGTTGAATCTTACAGTTAAGTTCAAATAATCTTACAGTAGACATTCAAGCAATCTCTAGTAGATAAAACATCTTCCCACACAAGAAAACAAGACTCAAAGCCCTTTTAAACTTGGTTACCCTCATGTAATACAATAAAATACACTACAATTATCAATACACAATGTCAATGTATTGTTTATAATGTTGTACCACATGCAGATAGAACTGTACTAGCCACGTGTACTTGCATAGTGTATTGTATTGTATTGAATTGTATATTAGGGTAAAAAAGTTTTAAATGTTAATGTTTTTATGCGTTTAGCATATTATTATTAAAAAAATAGAATGAATGCTAGACAACAACATGACAGTAATATCATGCATAAACAATAATCATTAGACAATATAGACATTGTCAATCAATCAAAATATTGAAATGAGAGTGCCTTACTCCAGTGCCATCCAGTTGTCGGTGAGTACGTGTGTGTAGATGGCTATGGCCTGTTCATGTCGACCCAGTCTACCCAATAGGAGAGCCCGCTCCTCAAAAAACCCTACATGGTCCGGGAACAAGTTTAACATCTGTGTCCATAATATCACCAGGGTCCATAATATCGCCACCTTGAGAAACATTGTGCTTAAAGACAATTTTTACTGCAACATACTTTTGGTATGCACTCCTTCAACAACCAAATGTACATACCTAGGGTATGTTGCAGTAAAAATATCTTTAAGCACACTGTTTCTCAAGGTGGCGATATTATGGACCCTGGTGATATTATGGACACAGATGTTACAATGACTTGCTAGAAACCTAATTGATCTTCCAAACTAATCTGTAGTGGTCCAAAAGATGCATAGAACAAATTTAAAGGCATCCGATGTCATTTCAGAGAGAAGCAAAGAATATTCTGGATGAGGAAAATGTAGTTTGATTTCTTAGCACATTTTTGCCATCAGACTTGAAATTGAAGTACATGTATTTGAAATAGCCCAGAAACAAGCTATGTGAGGAGTCCATTTTAGTCAGGATACGATACAAATTTAGCAAGCAACCATTTTCCATCAGCAACATCACATTTTTGCCAGACAGATATCAGTATGTTATGGGGTAGGCTTGATTGAAAATAATACATTACAGGAAGAACTTTATTGCACGACAATTGCACAAGGTACAATGTATGGCAAACTACATAAAGAGAGTAACAACAATAAAATAAATGTTGGATAAGACCTAATGTCGAATAAAACCTAACATATCTTAAATGTAGAAGAATGACCAGAAAATTGACTTTGAAAATCCAGCTTTGCCACCATGGAATTGCATTGGATGCAGTTAAAGCCACATTTAACATTGACACTCCACTTCTAGGACTGTAAAGATTTCTTATAAGCAGACGAAGGTTAAAAAGGTCTGCATCATATGTCAGTCTGTAATATCTTTTTCTGTAGCATGTCGGCAGAACGTACTGCACCTGCGCAAAAAGTATTTTAAGATTTACAGTTGAAGCAACAAGATCTCTTCATATGATGGAATGACAGATGCTGAGAGAAAACCCTGACTCAGTGTTCTAGCCAGCCTGAAATTTAATTCCGTCATCACAATTTTGTTTTCAGGTAACATATATCATGTTGATTGCTGAAGTTGTGACAATCCTCGGGGGTTAGATGCAACAATTGTAGGAAAATTTTGGAATTTTGACCCTCCAAAACCCTACTCCCTGCATTTTGAGGGGCAAATTTTGCTGGTAGGCTAAGCTTAGTTTGATGACATAAATAACTTTACACACCATTTTTCGTCCATCACAGATGACAGATTAGGCAAAGTTTTTGTTTGTCATGAGCGGCAAAATTCCGTCAAATTCCAGAAAGATGCAGGCTGGCTAGAATACTGCCCTGATCCATCTCTACCACCACCACACCTACCATCAAACGGGAAATAAGTCAGAAGTTTCTCGGGGACGTAGTCCAGGGACGTCTCCAGAAAGTACAGCAGCTTGGAGCGGATTTCTCCCAGCTCACCCGGCTCTCTACCGGCTGGGGACGGCAGCTGGCCTGGGGTAAACAACAACAAAACAACATTGTTTATGAACAAACAATGGACTACCTTGTTCTTGTAACTTCTTGAAATGCAAATTTCATGTAAAAAGTTAAAGTACATATTATGACCATTCATTTATAATCATCATCAAACACTAACTTTGCCACTTCAAAATGTACACATAAATATTTGAAAGTGCAGATATACATGTAGTGTAGAAGGCGATGACTCAAGTAACCATCATGATCAGTAGTGGTACTCTTACATTACACTGTGTGCACAACCCTGTTTTAGATCAATAATATCACACTGTACCAGTTATTGCCTTGTATTCAATGACTTCTTGGTGGTATTCAATATAATTCAACAACTTTCCACTCCCTGTAGCATAGACCTTTCCTTGGTGCTGAAAAGCTATCAAGCTATTTTACAACAATAAGGCTCTGTACCTGTACCTACATGATTTACCTGTACCTGCATNGAATATTGAAAATGCATCTATGTTTTGGACGACTAAATTTAACGGAACCGGGGGCAAATAAAGAGTTCGCGATGCATCTAAGTTAGCGAAAAAAAAATAACCAAATACAAATAAAGGAAATGCCGCCTCTTTATAGACCGGATCACTTAAATCATTTTCCGATCGCGGGGAACGCGCGGTCACAACATCGCAGCACTCAAATACACTAACGGATAACACTAATGTGACAACATGTGAAGTAACGGCCGTGGCGACGGAGCGCCGCGCACGTGTTTACCATTTTCAAGAGTTTACCAAATTTTTAGGACAATACTAAATTCTGGAGCGCCGGGTGTCAGCGGAAGACACACATTGAATGGGGCCACCTTGCCTGCTGTAACCTGGCCGGACCACGGAAAAGTTAGATGGGCGTAGCTAGTTTATAAAAAATTTGATTGCGGAGGAGTGAGCCTGTGCTACCGAATTTAAAATTTGATGCAAACCAAAACAAGAACGAGGGGCTGCTGAGGCTTACTATTCTGAACGGGAACGAGCGAAAAGGTTAAAAAAATATCTCGTAAACTACTTCTTATGTCACAAAATCAAAGGTGGAAAGCTTCTCGTCGCTGGGACGTTCCCACGTGTTGCCAAGACGACGGCACGTCCTGACCAGACAGAGCGGCGTCACGCCCTCAGCACAGGCATTGGCCCCGCCCACCGGGCGGGCTACAAAAGATTTCAAAGGCCCAAATATTGTAGCAAACCGTGCCGTGTACATATACCCCGCATTTTCACTTCGTACGGTATAGTCCCGCTCCAAATGAATTTTCCTGCAGCATTTCTTAGGATTTAAAGAGATTTCGTGATACGAAATAAAAAGATTTCTGTCAACTGAACCTTTGTAATGGCATGCATTACATGGATATAATCTTTGTTAAAGATTTCTGTGTTAACTAGAGCCGAAAGTGCATTAGAACTGGCCATCAGTTGAGGCACAACTACCATGTTATATTCATGTTACGAGGGGTGATCAAAAAGTTCTCGGCCTCATCTAGAAAACGTCAGGGCAGTAAAATTTTTCTTACACTATTTCATAATATATTCCTCTCTTACTACAATGCACTTGGTCCAGTGATGTTCCAGCTTTGCTTTCCCCTTGTGGAAGAAGGTTCCATCTGGAGCCCCCAGATAGGCCTATACCGCATAGATGACGTCATCATTACCATCAAAACGTTGACCACGTAAGTGGAACTTGAGTTCAGGGAACAGGTAGAAGTCCGAGGGTGCTAGGTCAGGTCAATTGGCAGGGTGGGGTTAGACTGCGAACCCAAATTCGTTTGCTGCTGTCGCTGACCCCTGTGCTGTGTGGACAGGTGCATTGTCAGCAGGCAAGCTCGGAGCTTTCCTCTCCTTTTCTCTTTAATCGTTGCCCTCAAATGTCTTAATTCTGTTGAATAGTACTCCCCATTGATGCTTTAACCCCTTTGCATGTAGTCAATCATGATTACTCCCTTACTGTCCCAGAAAACAGAGGCAAAAACCCTGTCAACGGACGAAACTCACTAAAACTTCTTGGGGTGCCGGAAAAAATTCTTCCATCCATTGTTTGCTCTGTTGTCTTGATTCGGGCTGAAAGTGGTGAACCCAGCTCTTCTTGGGTGACAAATGTTTTGAGGAAATTGCATGGATTGGACTGAATTCGTTCCTTGAAATGTCAAGCCTGTTTAACTTCTGATGTTCAGAAAACATTCGAGGCACCCACCATATGGCCATGCAGACAGTTTGTTCATCCCCAGGATGTTCGACAAAACATTGTGAACTGAGTCATAACACAGGCCAAAGAACCTGCTACATGTTGGCCAGTCTCACATCTGTCATTTACTACCATGTGATGGATGGCCTCAACTGGATTGTCCATGGTGCTGATTTGTGGCATCCTCACATATGATCATCTTTGGTTCTCTCCTTGCCGCGCTTATAGCTAGTAACCCACTTCTTTATAATTGAATAAGAAGGGGAGTCATCACCAAGTGTCTTGACCATGTCTTCATGGATGTCCTTAGGAGACACAGGGGTTCTACTGAGATCGGCGGCTGGCTGGCGAACTATCCCGTCGGCATGACCTACGAGTACCGGGCGTCTTTGCACTCGGGTCGTGAGTGACCTAGTATATTTTCTTACCGTGCGCCCGAGTCTTGTTTTACTGCAACGTCGTGTTAATATCGACGATAGATGGGAGGCACAAAGGTTAGGGATTCACAGTAGTGTGTTAACAAGTAAACAATAATCGAGTCTAGGCGTGGTGGGGCGTGCCCGCTAATACTGAGTAATAGTGTAAAATCTGGATTATTAACACGTGCGCGGCGCTCCGTCGCCCCGGCCATGTACTTCTACAGTCCGTGACGTATCCGGGAAGAACTGGTCGTAACCATAGGCTTCCTTTCTATTCTTTGTGTTATGTTTTTTTCTGCGATTTTGTGTTTGGCCAGTCGTCAAAATTTTTTTTTGCCCGGTCGAACGGGGGGGCGCGCGCCGGGTGCGCCCCCCTCTGGATCCGCGGGTGTGCATGTAAAAACTCATACTGTACACAAGTACAAAACACCTGAATGTCAGTTTTAACTTGAAAGCTTACAAAAAATACAAGCATTAACTGAAACTGAACATTCTTTCTGTGACTACAAAAAGGTGACTCCTACCAAAGATTACAATTCATCATGGAAAAATAGGAAAACTTGTAAATACAATCGTGTACTCTTGTTTTGAGATAAACATATATGAATCTTTCTGCAAAGACAGTAACATCCGTGTCCATATTATCACCAGGGTCCATAATATCGCCACCTTGAAGATGGAGTGAGTGAGTGTGCCTGTCCTTGGTGCTGAACATGTATTTACCTTCTGGTAGTGAATCGATGTATTCCTTCAGCTGTCCCTGCACCTTTTCTCTGTACAGGTTCACCAGCTTGTTGTGGAACTCTGGTGTTCGATCCTCGCAGTTTAAAATGATGTGTTCCTGAAAAGATACAAAAATTCAACATCGTTAGGAGAAAAACATATTCTCATGGAGCTGGCTGGAATTCCAGCAGCCCTGCCCAACACTGCTTCCCTGGCTGGAATTCCAGCAGCCCTGCCCAACACTGCTTCCCTGGCTGGAATTCCAGCGGCCCTGCCCAACACTGTTTCCCTGGCTGGAATTCCAGTGGCCCTGCCCAACACTGCTTCCCTGGCTGGAATTCCAGCGGCCCTGCCCAACACTGTTTCCCTGGCTGGAATTCCAGCGGCCCTGCCCAACACTGCTTCCCTGGCTGGAATTCCAGTGGCCCTGCCCAACACTGCTTCCCTGGCTGGAATTCCAGCAGCCCTGCTCAACACTGTTTCCCTGGCTGGAATTCCAGGAGCCCTGCCCAACACTGCTTCCCTGGCTGGAATTCCAGAGGCACTGGCCAACACAACCAAAACCAACCAACCTACCAAATGTCATGAAGACATAGAGTAACAGTATCCCCCACACCCCATGTTATAACCATTAAAAAATCGCCGACCCCTACCTGTACATATGGTGTACCTACACTGTAACACATGACCTTCTTGACGAAGGTAATAAGAAAGGAACATTCTCCTTACCAAGTATGGAATGGCAAGATCCTTGACATTTTCTTCAAGATACTTCAGTATCTTGTCCCTGGGAAGTGCCTCAACCTCTGGCATGTCTTCTGTGAAAATCTGGGAGGAGACAGAGAGAAGAAAATGACACTATTAGCTTCATCTTTATGGTCAGAAGGACATTATGGCATCTTTGGATCTTTTTTTGTAGACTTAGTTAAGTGGTGAATGCTTTCAGCTCTGTCTAGAGTATCCAGTATATTTGTGTCAAAATGTCAACCTCAAAACATCAGCAAGTTTGCAGCTAAAACAAATGTCTTTTTTTTTATTACACATTGCAATGAGGATGATGTGTATAATACCATTATAATTATAAGCCTCACCTTTAGCCCATCTTCAGGGTGGGCCTTCAAAACCCACAGGGCAAAATCAAATATCAATTCCAAGTGGTTGGGACCTGGAAAGTCAGGAGTAAAGTTACTGTAAGTCACTTTATATGTTCACAGTAGCAAAAGTTTGTGGTCTGAGAAAAATGGAGGTGTTCACGAAACTACATGTAGATTAATTTTAAACAATGTCATATGTTCACAACTTTACCGTGGCCACAAGTGCAGAAGAAAAGACAGAATTATTTGTTAATGGTAATGATAAGGAATTACTTCCAGAGCTAGAAACTGTTCCTTACCTAGTCTCTGTAGATATTGCACAGTTCTGTCATGTCCCTTCAGTGGGGAGTTGGGCTTCCCAGACTGCCTCAGTAACAAGTCCAAGGCTGAAGAAGACAGCAACATTCTGTGTTAAATCTAACTTTCAAACATATGTACATTCAGTAAAAACAAACTTACCCCTTAATTAGATCATTGTTATATATGTTGATTTCAACTTGATAATATGGATGACATCCTCTGGGAGCCCCAAAACTGATGCGCGCGTGTGAATAAAGAAAAGTTTGGCAAAAAAAAAGTTTCCTTCGTTATGAAATCTACTTGGTCATAGAGGTTGAACAAATGACTAAACACGCAGAGTATATAGTATGAGGAATAATAATAGACTCTTCATTTTCATTTCTTCACGTTTTCTTCTTTTCCTGAATTGATTTCGGCATTCTACGGCATTAGTTTCCTTGTCCAGTACCTTTTTTGCAACATTCCCTCATTTTGCACGATTTACGGTATGGTCGAAAACATTTTTTTTGGTTTTGGAAATGGACGAAAATTCACGCGTGCACAGATGTCATCCATATATTATTAATCAAATCAACATGGCCTTATTGGTATTGAATAACATAAAAACACCAGGTATTAATGTGACAAGTTATAACTAGAAAGGCCAATATTTGCTTTGGAGCAAATACAGCGATGGGTTCACCACATTTTACGACATGGCAGGGAAAGAATGAGAAACACAAGGGAAAACAATGATTTACATTGATATAACTATAATATGAAGTAAAATACAACTAAAACAACAGTTGGATAGCTATTCCCTACTTTATTGGTTAGGATTTTTAATTGCATAATGCAAACTGTTGATTTTCAAAATAAAAAAAACGTCCATGCCCCGCATTCCAATGCTGGAGCAGGAAAGCTTGAAATACCTACCAAAACACTTGAATACAGACATACTGTCAGTATGGAAATGATCTGTGCAGGTGTTAATCAAGTTAAATCCCAACAGCCAATCAGCAAGAAATGCTCTGTACATGTGCACTGGTGGAAATGCTCTGAGCAGGTGTTAATCAAGTTAAATCCCAACAGCCAATCAGCAAGAAGAATAGAGGAAAGCTGCATGCCTATTGGTTGATGCCCTGCATTCCATTGTGATGACTCATGCCCAAACGTGGTAAACAAGGCACACTAACACAGTAATACATTTGCTATAACACAGCCAAAAAACTCAAATAAAACCATTCTAAAAGCCTGTATCACAATAATTTAAAAAACGCCTAGGGGTATTTGCCCACTGTACCTCCAACCAAATTTCAGGACCTTGGGCCCTAAAATGAAGAAGCTGAATCCATTTAAAAAATGGCAGGAGGAGAAGGAGGAGGAGGAGAAGAAGAAGAAGAAACATCAGAAAAAGCAATATGGTTTCACCACACCACTTCGTGGTGTGGTGAACCCATAAATATAGCTGAACTTGCTACTATAAGAAAAAAGTTGGCATACATTTAACAGCAGCTGTCATAATTCTGAGAGATAATCAAAGGCTGTCACATAAAAAGTGTCATCGAGGCCTTATTAATCAAGAATATCTTGAACAACTGTCTTGGATAATGGACATACCTGAGATTACTAATGCTGCATCTATTTGAATTTGTTCAATATAGAGGTTTATGGTATCCAGTGGATACATATACGAGACTAGACTTTATATTAACAAAATCAAGACAATTGCAACTGACTGTGTGTATAACACCCAAATACATCTAGTGGGTAAAAAAAGACACTTTATTTACATTGTCTATTGGGGTCTGACTGTCAGTTCAGAAATACGTATTTTAAAAATGTATATAAATTGTTGTATGTTTAGTGTTTATGTGGTTTTATGTTTGTACTATGGGGATAACCTGAAATAAAGTCATTCATTCATAATGTTGTAATTACCTTTTCTGTGGAGTCCCTTCTTTTCATACAGTATGATGAGTTCGCTGTACTTCTGGTGTTTCTTGAGGACTCTCTCACTTTCTTCCACATGACAGTTATTGTCTTTCAGTCTGAGTAAGGGGGCTACCAGGGCATCATTGGTCTAGAAGGGAAAAAATGTCACACAAGGATGGAGACAAATCCAATTAAAGGCTATTAGCCAATGAGCTGGCCTTACACGTATGACATAGAGTCTGAAATCAAGCATTCTCATTGGTTATGCGAAGGATTACATTAAGAGCATTACTAGTAAGAGGCTAAGCCAAGAGTGCTGTCAACTTTGAGACAGGGAATATACACTTAACCATGCAACTTCTGAATCAACAGTTTTCAGTTGATATATATGCCTGTGTACTTGATTAGGCCACAGCAAGTTAATTTTATGGATGACACCTTCCACAGACTCCAAATCTAATGCGAGAGAAAAACAAGATGGGCCAAAAAAAACAAGGTTCCTACAGTTTTAAATTTTGACTCAATCATTGCACAAATGGTTTTGATTCAGTGAGAACTTCACATATACACAGCCAGCATCACATATCACTGCATCAAACTTCAAAGTAAGAAATAAAACATTAAATCAGAGACTTTTCTTGTCTCTTCTCTTCATAGTTATCTACCATCCATGTTACGACATCTTTGCCCATTTTCGGCAATTGTTGACCACTGTCAGAAGGCAACAAAATTTCTTGTTTTTTTTTTTAAATCAGGCGAAAATTAATGCGTGCGCTGATGTCATCCATAAAAATTACTTGCTGTGACCTTATGATGTACCAGTAATACAAAAAAAATGTATTGTCTTATGCTGAAAAGTTTTTTGTCAAGATTCACTTTTCAATCCTTACCTGAAGATAACACTTCATCAATGTGGTATCAATAATCTGACTGAGTTGCTTCTTGGAACGGATTGTTGAGCTTCCTAAAAACAGGACAAAAATAGATTCCTGTCAGTACAAGAATATGATTATAATCATATTTTACGTATAATTTACAAAACCCAAAATTCCTACATGAAATGATACACACCTCTCATGATTCTGCTGGGTATTCTGGGGACAGCCACATCTAAAAACTAGGTCCACGATCCCATATATTTGCCAAATAATGTTAATCTTTACGACTGACGGATTCTAAGTTTCCCTCATCAATTATGCAAATAAGCTCCTCATTTGCTTAAATCAAATTTGTTGATCCACCAAATAACAGTCTTTTCTAACAAAGAAGGCCATTCTAGCATTTCATCATACATTATGCAAATGACCACAAAACCACCAAAAATATGACCTTCTTGGCAAAGATAATAAAAATGTAAATCTAAAGAGATGCTCAAAATGCAGTACCTGTATGCATGCACTATGCACACATCAGAAATCTTACACTAGATATCTAAGGCCACACCATTTTTTTCTTGGTTAACGGATTGGCCTAAAACATTCTTGAGAAGCCCTCAATAACAGTTTTTTTACTGTACAGTGGCATTCTTAGAGTACCCAGTAGAATTATAAAAGTTGACATTATACAGTGAATAAAACAACATAGACAGCATGCCCGTAGCCAGGATTTTGAATGGGGGGTTTCTTCCCACTGCTTGAGGGGACCTCGAGCGCCGAAGATGCGAGGTTCCTAGGGGGATCCGGCGGCATGCTCCCCAGGAAAATTTTGAAAAATGAACCTTCTAAAATAGCATTTCCTGCATTTTTGAGAGGATTTCCAAGAAAAAATCACAGATAAATTTTTATTCAATGACAAAGGGAGCAGTTTTCTACGATTCCAGTCCATCTTCTCAAGAAAAATCTTGGACCTTTACATAAAAAGTGGACCAAAAAGTGGACCTTTACATAAAAAGTGGACCAAGAAGTGGACCCCCCCCTGGCTACGGGCATGGACAGTAACGACAGAAGACAGTTAAGCAAAGGAAAGGAAAAAGGACAATGCAATGATTTTGCAAAAAAAAAAACACAAGAAATAAGATAGACTTCCTGATAAGATATCTTCTTCTGTCTGACTGCCTTTAAGGAAGAAGGAGAAAGAAGAAGACAAAACAAACTTTGGACAAAATCAGGCATCAATGTGAAATGAATACAGCATCAGTATACTCTGTATAAAATCTGGCATTGTTTCAAAATGTGTAGATTTTATAATTCAATTAGAATAACATGAAAATACCAAAAAATAAACTACATGTACTAGTTTCTGTTAACAGTATCATTCTAATAAAAATTGTTCAAGAATAAGAAAGTGACATAAAGCCCTGTCCACATCAGTCATAGTTACCTCCGGGGGAGGAGACATCCTTCCGTAGAAGGGTTTTGTGAGAGATTTATATAATTAGATTTTTATGTTCGCAACTGTTTCTCGCGTTTGGGTGGACGGATTCTTTTGAGACTTGGTAAATGTTTTGCTATTGGGCTGCAGGTGATGCACGTTATTTTGTTTTTATTGTATACTATAGTATGTGTTTTCGGGCGTGAAAATGGTGCCTTTTGGTAGCCCCAAAACACCCCTTTGAGCGTGAAAGTGATCGCGACCGTTGACCTTTGGCGTGTTTAAGCTATTCTCGGTCTGGTCCACATATATGACGCCTTACACAGAGGGGTGTCCGGTCTCGATAAATTCTTTGTTTAAAACCCTATATAAAAATATACAATAAAAAGCCCGGAGGTATAAAATCTCAGATTTTACTTGTTGGCACATGCAGAGGAACACTTATTAAGTTACAATCATACATTGTACAAATTTTATAGGACATGGGATGAAAATTCCACATTGCTAGATCTCAAGTTCACCAAAATCAACCTCATCCTAGACAAAGTATAAGTTTATACTGTCAAGTAGATGCACCAGTTTGTTGAAGTTTTCAGTAAATATTTGAAGTCATATGGACCAATGTTTTCATTGATGAAAAATTTTACTGCAATGATAAAATACTAGTATACACAATTGTAAGAGGCAAGTACATGTATAGGCAACTAGAGTATTTACCATTACTAAAACGTCATTCAATGAAAATTAGTAAAATGGGGATTGCAAACTTTGGGACAGACTGAAGCCAACCGACATTTGTATCTTAACCCTATCTAGACCGGGGGGGGCTAAAAGTGCCCGCGACAACTTTGATGTCACATAGCGTCTGAATGGCTAGGGCTAGAATGACCAAACTTGGTGACTTTTCCTAAAATATTGTTGGCAACAATTTTCTATCATTGGAATAAGATAATAATTTTTTGTGTTGCCATGGCAACTTCAACTTTATTTATTTGCTCATCATTTAACAAATGTACAACAGCAGGGGGAGCAGAAGCGCATCCCCCTGAATTAGGTACAATTTGTCACATTATTAGAAGCATTAAACAGCATTCACATAGAAGAAATAATACATATAAACAACCATATATAGACACATATAAAAAATTATTTACAACATATATCCACAAAGTTGCTTTATCAGGCTATGCAAAGTCCAGTACTAGTGTGGGTTCAAGGCAGGTTGTTATAGAGTCTGATGGTGTAGTGCAGGAAGGACTGTTGCAGCCGTTTAGTTCTTGCATGGGGAACAGTGATGTTGTGACTGTTCCTCAGCGATCTTCCTGTGACAGACTGTCTCTGGGCAGGAACCAGGTCGTGCAGGGGATGTTCAGGATTCAGCATGGCCTTGAAAAGAGACACAGCAGCGGCCTCTCTCCTCTCCTTCAGGGACGGCAGTGTCGGTACAGAACGTCTGCCGCCACGTGAAATGATCCGGAGGGCGCGCCTCTGAACCCTCTCCATGCTCGCTGCCTGCTCCTCACTGCAACCGACCAACAGAACATGGCCATACTCCAGGACAGGGCGGATGAGACTCAGGTACACCTGGACAAGATCTTGCACACTCATGCCCTGTTTTGTCAGCAGGCGGAGGTAGTGGAGCCTGCTCGAGGCCTTTGACACCATAGACTTCACATGTTCGCGCCAGGATAGTTTGTTGTCAAAGATGAAGCCGAGCCCCTTGGCAACAGTGGTGACAGGCACAAGCTCGCCCCCGAGAGACAGAGGTGGCAGTACTGGAGCGTTTCTGCTGAAGCAGATCAGCAGCATCTGGCTTTTCTTGCCGTTCAGGAGCATGTCGTTACGGTCAGCCCAGTTGTCAACGGGTTTCTGACAGGCATTTTTTGCTAAATTTAGTAATTTTTGTTTCAAGAATAGAATTTTATGGGTTTTATGTCAAGTTACTCATGGTTTCTAATATTAATAACATCCCATATGAATTTATGTAAATTTTATCATTAAATATGCATAATTTATGCTAATTTGATGACGTCATTGGCCAAAATCCAAGATGGCGGACCATATCATTAGAACAGGTATATACAAGTTATTTTCCTTAAAATTTCATCAATACTTC